TGGCTGTCATGGCACCCATGAATTCCAAGGCCAGGCCGAAAAGTTCTAGTTCAGCATGGATGTTGGAGTCCCCAGCTATCAATAGTCTGGGTGACCTCAACATCACAACCAAAATGAACTCGGGCAGCGCTGGCAGGGATCTTCTGGGTCACGTTACACCAGCATCTTATGCCAGTATGTAGCTCCATCTGTCATTTCTATAATTTATTTATGTGGCAAATTCTGATTCTAACACTCCCTAAGTCCCCACTACCACAAGCCTTCAAAACTGCAGGAAGCACCCTCTATAAAGCAGAACACACTCCAGAAAGTATTCTCTCATGCATCCTTGGAGAATTTGGGGAGCTGCAGTTGGGGCGGGGGGAGAATGGCACACCTTTCGGTACTGCCCCATTGGCTCACTGTCCTGATTTTCCACTGGCTTGGCAAATCTTTTTTATGTGATCCTTCTGACCAAAGAAAGAAGGATCTGAAGTCCATCCATCTCTTACTGACCCCTGTATGGCCCACATTTAAATTTCTTTTTGTTTGCTCTTCCCTAGGTGTGTAATCTGATCTGGTAGGATTTTTTTTCTCCTTTTGGACCATCTTTTGATCAGATTCTTGCTTCAAGCCATTTAATACACCCCTGAATACGGAAACTCTTAACAGCAGAAATATAAGCAGAACACTCTTCTAGCCAAAATGCCAACAAATGCTAAACTTCTGTTTAGCACTTGTTGAAATCTCATCTTGCAGAGATCTCATCTTAATGACTCATGATAATCATATTAGCAGAGTGCAAGGTAAGTATATGGCTATCACTCAGGATGCTCATGGCAAAGGAAAGGAAAAGCTTACACTTATTGTTCCAGGAAATCAATTCAAGATAAAACAGGTTAAAATCTAGTTTGATACAGAAGCCCCTAGCTTCTATGAGTGTAAATGTGCTGAATGCCAACCTGGAGACACCTTCATGGCTGGTTCTCCATCTCAGAAGTTGTGGAATAAAGGAATAGTCTATTTTCTGAAAGAATGGGGTACTGATGACAGAAAAGTGACCAAAGGGCAACAATCTACAAGTAGTCACTTATAGAAAAACAGGAGAGGAAAATCCCATTTGGCTAATTTATTCCACACATGCCCACTGATTATTTTAAATGTAACACTGCTTTCATTTTGTTTTGACAATGAGAATGGGATTTGGATTATAGCTCCTCTCTTGAAAATATATATTAGCAAGCAGATTTCTTAATACTCTTTCAGATGACCATGAAGGAAAAAAATACTTAAATAAAATGTGGTTATTTTGAATAAAATCACATTACTGCATATAAGCAATTTATCCATCAAGCATCAATCCAATGCAACAATACATCACAGAAAAAAAATCAAAGCACCCCAGTTAACTTTGATGTAAAAGGTATTACAACATTAATTGCAGACAATGAAATGAGAGCAGTCTGTGGTTTCCCATTGTTTGCCAACCTGTTTGAAAGAAAGTAAATTGATTAGCATTTAAACTACAAGAGTTAAAGAGTAGAAACCAATTTTAGTCACTTCTAAGCCACGGAAAGCTATTCTCTTGCAAACCAAGAGTAATTTAAATTACATTTTACATTGTGCTCTCTAAGTGGCACTTGGGAAAGGCTGTGAGAATTAAAACAAAATTTAAATTATAAACGCTCATGGATCCAAGACACTAAAATCGCCTAACTCATGCCTGTATTTCACAGTAGTCTTTTACAGCCCACCTCTCTCTCTCCCTGCTGTGCTGGAATTTCATTTTCTTCTGCTTGGGAAGTAGGTCCAACTCTGTCTTCCCTCACTAGCCTTCAGACCTTCCTTTTGTATTGTCTCTTCCTGAAGTGAAATTACTTCCTGGAAATACTCTACAAGGACATCACTTACTTTGTTTGCCTCTCTCCATCGATACAAATTGCATTCTTAATACTCGTATTCCATAGTAGCATGCATTAACTACTATATAAATGTAACCACTAGACATTTCAGCAAGCTGAAAGCACATGTCACTTGCCATTGAAGGAGGCCAATTTCTTTCACGCACTCATCACCAACTGATTATTGCCCTTTTAGATCAAATCTGAAGATCAGACACACAGGGATAGACATGCTAGTATCTCAGGTATTTCACTGACAAAAGTCCTATATTCAGATAAACTGCCAAAGAGTTTCACTATAAACAGCTTGAACAGGATGGACTACATGTGTACTTCTTTGTGATCTGGAACAATTCCAGAAAAATGACACAATGGCAGAAATCCTGTTGTTTAGCACAGTAAATCACATTAAGAGTAGGCCCAATGAATCAATGGAGATTTTGTGAATCAACTTCTCTATACTATACTAACCATATTACAGCGAATCACTTACAGTAGGCTCATTTGAATCTGTGGAACTTAAAGAGGAGTTGGCTCACCAATCCAGAATGACTTAATGGGCCTACTCTAGTGTGATTTACTACCTCAAGCAATAGGATTTTGGCTACTAAATATGATTCAATGTACTAGAACCCTTCTTTATCTGTGACATAAATCAGGGTGGGAAATGTGCATGTCTTAAATTTATTTCATGCATTTTGGCCTAAAGTTCAGAAGATCTCTTCACATGATCACTACAAAAGCAACAACAGTTAGCATTCCCATAGCTGTTGACCACAAGAGTGGACCATCCTCGTCTCCCGATGGTATGTATACTGATCTATACCGTGTTTCACCAGGACATCTCTGGAAGCAGGATTGAAGGAAAGACTATCTCCACCACACGTGGAGATTTCTGTGTCTCCTTTTTCGATGTCGAGCTTGAAGGAGGCTTCGGTGCCGATACTGTGGCCATTGACCTCAAGCCCAAAGAAGACGCCTGTGGCTTGGATGCCATTTTATGCCCTTTGGGAGCCTTTGATGATGGCAAAGAACCAGAAATCAGAGCTGACAACTCAACTGGGGGAGAGTCCATAGGGGCCCCTTGGGATGGAGATAGGGACTTCTCCCACAAACAGGAGCGGAGGCACTGCAGCTACAACTTAAGTGCCGGGTTAGTAAAGCCTTTACACACTGCACACAGGGACGGCTAGTATTCCTCCCCAAACCAAAATAAACAGCGGGAATGGCCGTCGGAAAGAGCAATCTTATTAGTGCAGGACTCACACCTCAAAGAAGCCCGAAGCAGTCATAAACAAAGTAAAGCGCGTATAGAAAAATAGTCCTTTTCTATACTTTTGTTCTAACTCATAGAGATGAAGCAATGTCACACGGTTCGAGAACGAAACCAGGGAGGTCCGATAGAAGAAAAAGGTAAGGGAAAGTAATTAAACAAGCATGGAAGTTCCTAACCAAGCTGCTGCAGTGGTGGCAAGAAAGAAACTAAGGCACTCAGTGCTAGGGGTGGGTTACAGCCAGTGTGTGAGAGGTCCCGGCACCATGTGCTCAAGCTCTGGAAAGTTCCGAGGTTGCTCTGTGCGGGCTCAGATTAATCCATTAGTGTACATTTTGACATTGCAGCCTCTATCAGAGGGCATAAGTTCAGAGTAAGTTTAGGAGGAAGAGGAAAGACTGAAAGAACTGGGCATGTTTAGCCTTGAGAAAAGATGACTGAGGAGAGATATGTTAGCACTTTGTTATACAGAAGAGGGGCAGGATCTGTTCTCAATCACCCCAGTGTGCTGGACATGTAATAATGGGCTCAAGCTGCAGGAAGCCAGATTTAGGCTGAATAGTAGGAAAAACTTAAGTGTTAGAGCAGTACAGCAATGGAATTAATCACTTTGGGAGGTGATGAGCGCTCCAACACTGGAGGCATTCGAGAATAAATTGGACAATCATCCGTCAGATTTGTTTTGATTTGGATTCCTGCACGTCAATTTGTTTTGATTTGGATTCCTGCACTGAACAAGGAATTGGACTCAATGGCCTTATAGGCTCCTTCTAACTCAATTATTCTATGATTCTATGAGTGGGGAGTGTTAAGCCTACAGATATTTTGGCCTACAAGTGACAGAAGCCCCAGCCAACATGCTTTGTGAGACTGTGGGAGTAGTTGTCCAAAATGTGTGGAAAGCCAAAGGTTATCCACCTCTGACCAACGGATATAATTAGCAAAGCTGAAGATGATGCTGACAGACATCTTTGTGTTCTAGATGCTCCTGGATCCAAGTAACATCACAAATAGATTTCAACATAGACATACACAGAGAGAGAGTCCACATAACAGCTGCTACACATCTACACAGATGTGTTCAACACACTCTACCCTCTGCTGAGCATTCTCCTTCAATCCTACATGTCTCTGGTAGGATCTCCTTCTGCAGCCTGCTTCCCCTGCCCCATATTCTGATCTAACTTCCACGTTGAAATATCAAATATGCAGAATTTGTTATCAATTTGCTGAGTACGATGGAACCAAATTAACAAAGAGAACTAATTGGCTGGCATACATAATACTACAAATACTTCAAAAGCCCAAATATGCTATGACAGAACACAATGCACATGATAACAGCCTTCCCTCATCTACAGCACATTGGCATCATAAAGTCTCCATGCAGGCACCAAATCAACAGATATAAAAAGGCACAAGGTTTTAGAAAAATCACAATACAAATACTAAGTTACCCATGCAATGTAATGTATTAGACTCACATGTCTACATCAGCTGTACAAACATTTGGTGTGTAAATCTACATCTACAACCCTGCATATGACAATTTATCCTCATGAAAAGAGCATTTTTGAACAGATGAAGAATTCCTTTTGTTTCCCCCAGATCAACTGTGATGTGAAGCATCTGAGATTGCAAGGACTCTGAAGTGAGGAGTATGCGTAGTCCAGAAAATGATTAATGTTCATTTTGGAAGTAAAGCTCCTCATACTGTACAACATAGCCTTATATGACTTGAATCACCACCAACAGATGGCATTTTTTAAACAAACAAATGTGAGCTTCGAACAAAAACTTTGAAAAAAAATACATACAATTATAAAACATTGTAATAAATGAATTACCTATCTCCCTTTGGCTTTCTTTTCTGTACTGTTTTTCCTTTGGGTCGTCTCTCACTTCCTAAACAGGGAATCCCACCTGGACCTGTTACCCGTATTGATTCAAGGCCTTTGGAAGATTTCTTAAAAGTAAACTCCACTGGTTCTCCTTCTTTTAGGCTTCTAAATCCTTCCATATAAAGTTTGCTCTGTGAACAGGAAAAATATTCTTAGTTACCAATTTTTTAAAGTAATAATAATAATAATAAAGACATACTGAAGTCTGTCAAAAACAAAGCATTATACAGAGTTATATTTGTAATGCAATTTTAGTTTCCCTAAGTGTACAGTTAGTGTGGGATTTCCTAAATAAAGCCGAATCGAATAACCAGCACTTGAAATTTCTATGCGGTGTCTGCATGGATCAGGGTACAAAATGCCCCAATGGAGTGAGTGCAGGGTATATGACCACCACTGCATTTGAGAGTTCCTCTTACACCAAGATGTACTGTATCTTACAAAAGTGGAAATACCACACATGCATCTGAACAATTTATGAATCTTTGGATTAGGAACTCTAGCTGCCCTGCTGCTTTGGCTCAGGTAAACAGCTCTCTTTATGAACATGTTACAAACAGAGTTAGTTCCTTCTTTTTGCTGATTTATTTAAACCTAGCCCCTCCCCAAAGAAAGAAATGCTGATCACTCCTGCCCTGAAACATATAAATACATGCACTTAAATTATCAGTATTTTTAAATATTGACACTCAAAATTCTAATTGATTTCCCATCTGTTTTGAAAAGGACAAATCGCTTCTTTTTTAAAAAAAAGACAACACAGAGATTGATCTAAATTAACCTACATTCTATGTCTAATAAAACTCTGGTTTTTCACTGAATAGCTTTTTAAGAAATGAATAAAATAAAACAAAGACAAAATCAGAACAGTTACTATATTATTAGCTAAAAGAAAGTTAGAGAGAAAACTTTAATGAAAATAAAATCAGGTTAATATCAATAATCAGTAAATCTGTTATGATACCATGAATTTGATTTGCACTTTTTCTTTGACCCGTACAATCATCATCATCCTCAAACCAAACAGGATCATCAATGATCATCTAGAAATTTACTTTGAATCTAAAGCACGGCAGCTTTCTAAGGATGCTGAATTCCTGACATATATATTGAGTCTATATAACCTAGGACTGGAAACTATATATGAAATAGGGTTTAGGATTAATTATTTTGAATCAAGCTAGGTAAAATCCGTATGTAGCTAATTCAGTGAACATATTTCAAATATTCCAATGAAGAAATGATAACTATAATTAATATTAAGAGATGTTTTAAGAGTTATATTATGTAAAATACAAAATGTGCTGTTTCACAAAATACAAATACATAAAATTATATGTGTATGTTGCATAGTTGATCCAAACTAATGTAGGCTTAGATCCCAGGGCTCTGCTGCAGGTCTCCCTTGTTCTTTGAAAACCACTGTTGAGAACTAGAAGACCCTCTGGAATGGCATGAGACAGCTCCATTCACAAGCAGAAGCCGTTTCCACACAGGTATGAGCACGTTCTGACCAATGCCAGAAAAACTGAAGCCCTTCTTTAGCATTTGGGCCAATTCTTCCATTGGAAATGCGTTCTTCATAAATGTGCACTAGGAATGGATTTTCATGTTGACAGAAAAGAAAACCATGCAAAAAATGCTCTTTTTTTGCCCATGTTCTGTTGATCCCCCAAAGGCATTTAAAACACAATTGATACCCATTAACAAAAGGGGGATACATGGAAGTTTTGTGTTCTCTCTTTCATTTAACCTTCCTTTTGCCTTTCATGTGTCAAACTGTCTTATATTTTTTTCACCCAATAGCACCCTGAGGATTATTGCAAAGATATGGTGGTATGACCTTTCATTCACCTTTGTATGTAACCCTTCTTTCACCCTTTATATGTTGACTCACCTCATAAATTCTTTGTCCAATAGCATTGTGAGGGCTATTGAAAAGATATGGTGGTGTGATCAATGAGGATTGTCAGGTGCCAGTCAGTATATCCGGAGTGGGTGGTGTTTGTAAGTAGAGCCTGGAATCAAGTGAGTTTTTGCTACCTATCTACCACCTGTGCCTCCTTCCTGGAGCCTTTCTTCTTCTTTTGCCACCCCCCCCCCGGGGAGGCATACATTTGCTATGTATTTAATTCTGCGGAAGGGGTATATTTCGGTGGGGTTTTTTTTTCATGGATTGTTGCCTAATCTATGTTGCTTTGCCTCTCCTTTTTTGAAATAGTTTTAAAGGGTTCTTTAGATTTTGAGTGCCAGTAAATACAAAAGAGAAACCAAAAATGCAAGAATCTGAAAAAGGCTTTCCCTTTCATGTAAAACAAAAGGATTTGCGCATGAAAAATACAAAAATTAAGAACCAAAAATGAAACAAACACAATAATTTGTTCTGTGCACATCCCTAATGAGCATCTGTCTTTTACAGTTTGTTAGTCTGAAGAAGAAGCAGGGGTAAATTATCAGAATTAATCAGAAAGAAAGAAGTTTGATAAAGCATGCTTTTAAAAAGGATTTTGTTGCATTGCACAGAAAATATGTTTAGCCAACAAAGACTAAACTATGAGGAAATCTATGATCACTAAATAAACACTGTATACAAAAACTGGGAAACCATTTCTTCAACCCTGAAGCAAGGGAACAGGAAACTACCTGAGTTTAGACTGTGATTTCTGCCAAAGGATGATTTGCAGTAAGATTAAATTTATCCTATTTTTTAAAAGGAAACCACCAAAATAAATTTAATAAGCATTATTTGTGCAATACATTACACAGGTAATTGCAGAGAGAAACAGAAAAAATACTGTTTGTGAAGAATGTAATTAACCAATGCTAAGGGAGAGGTTTTTAAGGGACATTTCTCAGCATCTCTTCATATTATTGTTTTTTTTTCTGTTGCTATATTTAAGACCCAGTTCACATGCAACAGTATGCCAAAATTCTTAATTTTAGTTTCTTATTGCATTAGGTAGCAGCCAGCTAGTAATACCTCTGAAATCTCCCCTTGATTCTAAGCTAAAGCATTTTCAATTTAAAAGGGAAATGCATATTGAGAAAATAAAAACCAGATTGCCATTAAAAAAAATACAATGATTGAATTAGGGAGCAAGATATTCTTTAATTGATGGAATCTTAAAATAAATACAATATTTAAATAATTCATGGTTTTTAGGTGGTAGCTGTATATACATTTAACCTGGAAGTAATTATACAAAAAATTATCACTTGACAAATCCATCTTTCAAAGTATGTTCTTTTTTTTGGGGGGGGGGGGGGAGTTGGCTTCCATATTCTACCAACTGCATCCTTGAGCAACTCAGCTGTGTTTATGCTTTTCTGAGAATTCCATTAATACCTGTCAGCTTGCACAGCAAAAAGTTCCTGTTGCATTGTGCCCTGTATCAGTGGGTGCTTCAAAATGTGACTTGAATTCACAAAAGGAAGGAAACTCCAAGTCGGGGATTCATTATGGCAATCTATTCTCCTCTTGATATGCGCGTGTCACTCTTATTAGCATGCGCATATGGAAGGGAGAAAAGGCTCCTATAATGAGCCTTAATTCAGAATTTCCTCTCTTTTGTAGATTTTCAGTCAGGGTCCAAACACCTGCTGGTGCAGGATGGAAGGCTTTGGAGAAAGAAAGAAGAAAGAATAACACCACATTATGCTTATAGAAATTCTACTTATGTTCAGCTCTCTTTTTTCTGCATCTTCTTTTGTTTGTCTCAGCTTTACAGAAAACTCCACAAACAAAATTAATACTTATTAATTTTAAATAAAAAGGTCAATTATTAATAGGTATTGCAGATTCATTAGATCTTGTACTGGAGCACTTTTTTGTACTTGGGTAAGATCTTGCCATCTCTCTTTGCAACACAACACACAAGCCAGGGAATCAAACCACATTATTTTTTCTGACCTTAATAATGTAGTTAAGAGCATTAAGAATTTACAGAACACGCTGCTATGAAGATCTGCCACTTTCCAGATTGTCTTCTGAATTAAATTAATTCTATGAATGAGGATCACAACACTTCCACACCCTCCTCCAAAGGACATTCTGTTTTCAGACAAACTGTATCTGGCTGCTTGGTAAGTGAACTTATGAATTCACAAAGCTTAACTATGGCAATGTTGTTTCCCTGTAGAATCTTCTCAATGCAAGGGTAATGAACCACCAAACCATTTGCATCACAAGGACTACATTAATGGATCAGGCTCCCAGCAGCACAGCTCAGTTTACCACCCACAATCCAAAGAAGTGGATACTTTACAACAAAATCCAGGTTGTTTTCATCGTAACACTAAGACTGAACTAGATTTCCAAGCCAGTTGGAGATTTTTGACCTAAATTAAAGTTGTATTGCCCACCAACTCCTGTTGTAAAAAAGAATCTTACAAGTATTACCCAGTATTCATATCCTATGAGCTCCACTTTTGCTTCTTCTATAGGTCAACCAAACGTTTCATGGGCTTAAGAGGGAAATTACTTGGGCATAGATCTGTGGGGGCACATGTAACAGCTGGGACTCTGCTCCTCCTTTAAAGTCCTCTTGACAGAGACTCTACCCCATTAAATCCCTCTTAGCCGAGGTCTGAATGAAGCTAATGAACTACTTAGAAAACCAGAGAGTTGCCAAATTAGGTAGGTCAGCATATTCACATTAAAAATACAGAGCCAAAATGAAAAACTAATTTTTGAGAATTATTTCTTATGCAGTTAGTTATATTTTAGAGACAGATTGAACTTGTTTTCATTTAATAGAAATAGATAAGCATAATTTGCACTGCATTGTTAGTTTACAATTGGCTATCCAGCCCAACTGTTTGTTTTTTTAAATAACTATATCCTGTCTTATGGTTCATTCTTAGAGAAAAGCTTGCCATGGGACATTTAAGAGGAGTGTAGAAAAATGACAAATATATAATACACCGTTTTACCTCATGATGAATGATGCTTATAGCCAAAGCAGATTTTATTAATTATGCATTTAGTTCAGAGGAAATGATTTTACAAAAACCTTGGGTGACTGGCTCTTTTAGAAATGTAACTAGATTAGCAGTACAAATGCATCACATCTTTAAAAAGAGCAGGAAATAATTTATAACTCAGCTTGTGCAGACTGTTGGGGTGGGGTGG